CTTAATAATGGTGAAAGAATTTTTGAAATCGGTCCAGTAGTTTTTGAGTTATTTCAATACATACAAAAATACAAACCTTTCCTCTTTATAATAGTATAGATTGGATATTAATAATTAAAAAACCTTTTTTCTCATATTTTACATTTTTAACTTTATATACAAACAAGAATTAAATGCAAGTCGCAAACCTATAAGACAGAGTCTAAAGGTTGATATTTTTTGTATTCATCAAGCATTATTACTTTAACTTGAGGTCAACTTGATTTAAATCATGGTACTAACATACTTTGTAAATCAGAAGTTGTTTCAGTAGTCGATATATGCCATTAATAAATAAAAAAAACATACGCTATAAGTACCACGTATGGTATCATTATTGACCATTCTTCTGCAGCGGAAAGTGAGTTATCAGACAGATAAATCCGTTTACATTTTGATACAAAGTTGTGTTAATGATAAAGTAGAACATCTCAAAACGCTTCTATAAACTTATTATATTTAGATATGATGCAAATTAATCAGTTTATTAAATGTTACGAATATTATAAAAAAAAAACGAAAGCAAAATTAAGACTCAATCGTAACCAATTTACAAAATAATTTTGCAATACACACAGAGTTATGAAGACAGAAAAGTTTAGTCTAATATTTAAGTAATATCTTGCAATCATTCATTAACCGAATTGAAAATCGAAAACATCCATTAAAATCCTACTTCGGAACTTCTATTTGGCTCAAAACGGCCTAAAGATAGTGTTGGGCCTATCAATGAATCGGTCGCGGCGGGCAGGCGCGCGTGATTCAGTGGGCAGGCTAGCTGCTAGCTGTTCGCTGCCACAGCTGACGTCAGTCGGCTGACAGAGCCGCACGTCACGTCAGCCTCGTCACTCGTATATTTAGATCGGAATGTGGAAAAGTATACATATAAACTTCAACACCTACACTTTTTCCGGAAAAATATTGGCTCAAATCCAGAACAGTCAGGTGAACTAGGTTCAAAGAAATCTACAATAATAAATTAGACATCGAAACGCAATTGGGTTTAGTAAGAGGAAATGGCGCGGTTATAATCAAATATTCACTTCAAAAACTAAAAGAAACGTGTTTTTAAAATAAACTAAATGCCATATTTGCTATCGTAAAAGTAAATGTACGATTTTACAAATGAAATGCAAATTAAAAATAAAATATTTCGGTCAGATCAGATAATGCCTTGATATTAAATGATAACCAAATCATAGGGATAATACAAAACGGATTCTTAAGTATATCAAATTAGTACAATTATATCGCTCTTGTTACGGACATTTTATAATCTATACGTGATACTTGATACGTATGATAAGGCTAAGATAGGTGTGCGAGAGAGAGGGGCTTCGTTCTATGAACAATCTAATCAGTTAACGAACCTTGACGAACGGACGCCGGGAATCCTCTAATTAGGACGTTATTCTGTGCGCTTTCTACAGCGCTGTAAACTCCACTAGAAGTAGCCCATTTCTGTTGAAGGTAAAAGTTATACTTATTAAATCTACCTTACATAAATGTAATTGGATTATGTGTAATGATTTTTCTTTTTGAAGTGTCATCTCCCGGAGAACTATTATTTTGTCTGTGATCTGTGGCTTTGAGGTTACTAAGCAGAATGGTGTTAGTCTCTTAAAGTTTGTACGGCGTTGTTACGATTTTTAATAAAGAAAGAAAACGTTTTGTGATAACCATTCAATTTCCGATAATTAAAGATGGTTAGATAGAACACGAGATGAATAATTATTGCAGTTATGTCTTATCCTTATAACTTTGAATATTTTATATTATATATTCGTATCATAAATATTTTAAAAAGTTGTATCGCGTAATGTTTTGGACGATCGAGGACGCTCTGTCTAATTATACTTGCACATTGCGTCTTCCGCGCACACAATGTACCACTCTGCCAAATGACTCATTCATATTTTGCAAGCGACAAAAATTTGGCAATTTTTCTCGTTTTATTTCCGTAAAATTATAACTCAAGCATTTGAAGGTCTTAAAATAACATAAACTAGGAATAGACCTAACCTAGAAATGCTGATGCATAAGATATTTAAAAAAAAGTACTTGGTATGATTACGTTTCCCGTCTTTATTTCGAAATGTATTTTATTTTTAATACACGTTCCGAATAAAATGGCTGTTACCGCATTCGTAACATTACCATATTGATGGGTACCGGTGGTTACTTAACGATGTGACTCACTTGTTTGTTTGCCGCCTTCAAAGAAATGCTTCTTTTATGCCTAGTATTATTAAACATGAAGTTAAGGCAAATATTCATAAAAAATTGTGTGATTGTATTGTGGTCAGTACTTAGAATTGATCACTTCGACCAGCTTGGAAACGGCTAGCTAAACAATTACATAATTAATCAATATTTGGACGATTGACGATTTATTAACGTAATCTTCTTGTGGATGAATAGTCTGGAAGAACACATAGACTACTTTTGTTTTTTTATAACTTCACGCGGACGGAGTCGCGGGCGAAAGTATTATAAATGCGAAAGTTTAGTTGGATGGATGTTAGAGTTTGTATCCTTAACTGCTGAACGGATCTCAATAAAATTTGACATAGATATAGATGATAGTCTGGAAGAAGCTACTTAGTTTTGTTTACTTAATACCTCGCAGACGGACTCGCGGGCGGAAGTTGTGGTAGTGGAAAGGTGCATAATAATTGTGGTCGAAATCACTAAAACCCTTACATAAAAACCGAGTGTTCGTTTACAAGCGCTATTTGTTACAAAAAAAAACTCTAGCAACATCTTTTCATACATACGGTAATTCAATAATTTTTTACAACGACAAATAATTCTAACCTTTACCGACAAATATCTTTATTAATTTGACACTTATGTGAATTGAGTTGCACAGGTGAAAACACAGGAACTCATTATAATAGTTGACATTTGGAACGTGTTCATGGTGAGTGCATTGCTAAGGTATGCCGTCTATTTTTTGTGAATTAGCCGACAGATCGTGTCGGCGGACGGCCACTGGCGTCCCTCAGGAATCCGGCCCAAACCAGTTCCACAGCTGTGCGCTGCCATGATAACGATTTGACATAACAGAACATAATGCAATTATAGCAGTCATATTTGTCACATATTGAACATTCGAAGCCATATCTTATGAACATACATATGTCTTACGATATTTTAGAATATTAACTAATATTATAAAGAGAAAAACTCCGTTTGATTGTAATAAATAGGCGCAAAAACTACTGGACCGTTTTTAAAAATTCTTTCACCATTTGAAACCTACATTATCTACGAGTAACATTGGCTATTATTTTTATAATTTCACGCGGGCGAAGTCTCGGGCAACAGTTAGTAGAAAATAACAAAACAGAATACATCCGAATTGTAGGTTGTAGAAAACATTACATGTAATTACAGTATCAAAATGCTAAGTGGTCACTGGCCACTTATTCGCTGCCAATAAACGTAACTATGAGTCGGTAATATTGATTAATTGAAATACTTAAATTATCTCATCTAAATCGATTATGAGCGCATCGTAACAATTTCCTGTTCAGAATCATCTGTTTTCATCACAGACTAAAAATATCTCGAACGCGTTCGGCGTGCTTTTCGACCGACTCAGCTGATGTGACGTCATGCGCGACATGGCCGCGATGACACGACATAGATAATGCACGCACACTAACGAAATGTAAGGCCAAGCTACGGCCAGTTTTTTATATTCGAAATTGTAGAACATTCGTTTCTATTACAAGGTCCAAAAATCTAAGTTAAGATGGAAGGATGGATGCTTTTGCTAGAGTTCGTAGCCTAAACTGTTGAACGGATTTCGATTAAAATTTGGAACAGATGTAGAGGATCGTCTGGAAGAATAAATAGGCTACTCTATTGTTTTTTAATTCCACGCGGACCTAATCGCGGGCAAAAGTTAGTAATAAATAAAATGTACTTATGAAATCTTGGTTTTTGAGTAAGAAAGCCAAGAATGAGAAAAGCAAGAATGTCTTTGTTAGAAGACTTGCTGTAACTCTAAGCACCAGTTTTAGTTATGTCATGTTTCACTTATTACACACAACGATATTAACTAAATTAGCGTATCTCTCTGTAAAATAAAAAATATTCTACAAAATACCGAAAGTATTAAAAAATGTACATATATTAGTAAGTACTCTCAAGTCAGCAACCAGTTTCCAATTTGGTTATTTCGTAACTGGTTTACGTCGAAATCAAAAAAAATACAAAATTTAATTACTACGCGAATAAGTCACTTTGATTTGAGCCGAAAGTTTTTCAATTCAATTAATCATCATTAATTTATCTACAGTTTTATTTAATTGAATTACGATAATTTGGTTTAAAACGATTACTTACAGCATTGCTTGTGTATTTATTAATTTCTTTGGCGGTGGCTCTGGTCTTATTTCCTGTCACGTTTGACAACTAATTATTTCGCCGAAGATTGAACATTGATTGTTATCTTTACTTATCTCTGAAGTATAAAAATATTTAACAACAAGATCATGTCTTTAACAAACTTCGTTTAATGATCTTTGTCAGCATATTTTCGAATGTTTTTCTTTGAGTGATAATTATAATTTTAAATTGTAAAATTTACACAAAGTAATCGCCCCCCTTGTCACTGCTTTTTAATTATTTTTTTATTTATCTGTCTCCTGTGCATATATCTATGAATGGTTTTTACCCGCGACTCCGTCCGTATGAAATTTAAAAATAATAAAAAAATAAAATATAGCTTATGTTACAGATAAATTACTTTTCTAACGGTGGGAGAATTTAAAAATCAGCCCAGTAGTTTTTGAGCCTATTCATAACAATAAAAAAAAAAAAAAAGTTTTCCTCTTTATAATATTAGCATAGATATAAAAAATCTGAGGTTATTTGAATTTTATAAGCGCAATCAGTCGAAATATGATATCTATATATTTATTTATACGGTTGTTTCTTTTTTGTTGCAGATAATCGTCACAATGTCTCAAATCAGGGATAAAACGGTTAAACCAATGAGAAGATTAAGGTAATTTTTATATTTATTTTAGCAATAGCATGTTCCAAGGTACATATATTAATGTTTAGACAATCAGATATTGTATACGAATCTAACCAATATTAGACATGTGAAAGTTTAGATGGATAGATGGATGCATGGATGTTCGTTATAGTTTGTATCCTAAACGGCTAAAGAGATTTCGATGAAATTTGTCAAAGAGGATAGTCTGGAAGAACAGATAGGCTACCCAATTTTTTTTTTTTAATTCTACGCGAACAGAGTCGTGGGCGAAAGTTAGTGAATAATAATTTCTACTAGTTTCCTAATTTTCTATATAGAAAAGAAAATACTTAACTGCCTTATTGCATTTGGTGGTCCAAGTTGTGGTGTCAGTCAATGTAGATTCATTACTTCAACGTTACTATACTTTCAATTGTCAATTGTAATGGTAAAAATGTAGAAAACCTTACGTAGAAATATCACTGCATACCTCGGCTGACACCGACATCACAGTAATAATAATTGTACAATATAGACATAACAGTTACAATAAGGGAGGTTTAGTATTTTCAAGGAATTATTTCGTTACTTTTTAGTGTACTGTTTTTTTTGAGAATATTCTGTTTTTAGTGTATTTTGTTTGGAAGTCGGTTTTGTTTTTAATGGCCACGTTCTATTTCATTTGTGCATTATAAAGCACACCGAATGCCTAAAACCCACATGTCCCATAACAACGTGCTTGGAATCACAAAACCGTTGCCGGAAGGACGTGGTCGCGATGCGGTCAATGTTTCCCAATGCTATATAGGAAGTTTGATTCTAAGAAATGTCTGTATTTTACATTACTAATTATTATCAAGTAGATATTTTTACATCGTATTTTTGTTGATGTAATTTAATTATTAATATTAGTTCATACTCTCATTTTTAAATTGTTTTTTAAAATAAGTAAAGCTTGACCACATAACCTACTAGTATTTAAAAAAAACCTTTATTCACTATTTTTTTTTATAAAATTAATGTTGAAGGACTCTTAATCATAATACTAATATTATAAATGCGAAAGTTTAGATGGATGGATGGATGTTTGTTAGAGTTTGTAACCAAAATGAATGAAGAATTTCGATGAAATTTGGTATAGATGTAGATGATAGTCTGGAAGAACACGTAGGCTACTTACTTTTGTTTTTTTTTTATTCCACGCGGCCGGATTCGCGGGCGACAACTAGTTTATACATTTGTATGATTATCATAATTTAAATGTGACAAAATGGCCTGCATTTAAATAAAAGTAATTTGCATATATAGAGTAAAATTGTTTTCGTAAAAAATTACCGTTTCATCAGTAATTTTAGAACCCGTATGCCTCATCAAGTAAACTTGTTTACGTTCAGTCTAACGCCATTTCAGCAATTTAAGTGTCCATAGGCCATAATTTCCTTGTCAGCTAATTCAAAACAAGTGACTATTCGGGCCTAGCGACTGACTCAGCGGATGTACAATAAATATTCATTAATAATTAAATCAAACGAAGAATTGACGGTCATCTCCAAATAAGAATTATTTCTTCAAACTAATCTACATATTCATATTCATTCATACGGATGTAATTGATTCTAATTTCGCGCCAAAATTGGTTTTAAAAAACGAAAAATTCAATTTTTTTAATTGTGTTAATGTTAAAAACCATTTTAACCAAAACTCTTATTTTGGGTTATGAAGAGCACGTCATTTTATCCTAAAGGACATTTGAACACATGATTTGCGTCAATGAATTATTCGAAAACTCCATTTAAAATATACGTAAAGATTTATCTAGATTTAATTATTAAATGCTGCCATACTTTATACTAACAGATTGTTAACACAATATGGTTACCAAGGCATATGTTAGATGCATATTGGTTCCTATATAAAATTCCATTAAAAAATGGTGACAGTTCGCGATAGCAAGTTACAAACTATCCATCTACGATAAGAAACAGATGTGAATGTGATAAGGAAAATGTGAAGTCACAACCCAGTTCGATAACGTAGATTAGCCCACGCACGATTTATATTCCCTTCAGTTTTTCGTGTCTTAAAACAGTTTATATTTCGCCATTGTAGTGATTTCTGTATCGTATTGCCTTTCATGCAATCCACTTCGTTTTAGGCCTACTATGGTCGTCACGGCAACAGGAGGCAGCTAGCTTGAAATCTGTTCCTATTTCAGACTAGCAACTTTGGATTCATCATCAACTTGCCCTTATCCCTTACGGAGGGTCGGCACAATATGTGCTGCTCTTCCATACATTTGTATCAGCCGTCATATCTGAATCCACTCCCTTCTCAAGCATATCCTTTTCACTCAATCCATCCATACTTTCTTCGGTCTTCCTTTTCCTTTGTAGCCATCCACATTCAATTTTAACACTTTCTGGTTTATGTAAACATCGTCACGTCATTGGATTAAAACATTGAATAAGCGGTGATGGTCAATTTTGATTGATCTAATCGTACTTTCAGAATAATGTTAAGAATCTTGTATATAGAGATGTGATATGTATGTATCATTAGATTCAAACTTTATGGTGGCTTAAAGTTAACAGCGAGCGTATCTTCATAGGTGGGCTCATTACAGGTGTAAAAAAGCGTGTGTAGTGGTTTACCACGTCCTCATATCAGTTTACGTCCCGCCAATACCTATACAAATGGTATGCCGATATACAAATTCCAAAATATTAACGGTCGCCATGTTTGGAATTTGAATTTGGAACGGAAAATTTGACGTTCCTCTGTTCACTTAATTTCGGCATCGAAAAAGAATTGTTCTCTTGTTCTGGTGCAAAATAGCGAGCGGCCATAAAGTTTGTATGGCAGTGTAATGATGACGCGTCTGCCGGGTGAACGACATCTGAGTCACGGCACGTCCTCAGCCGCGCTCAGCTAACACGGACAACTGCAAGTGTAACTTGCTCATTACACTTTTTATTTATTCACAGGTATTGATAATTTAATTATAATTTACCATTACAAATGATTATTCTAATTTTATAAGAAAGAACAATAGGAAAAAACGGAATAAATAAAACTAGCTGGTACCGACACCGCACTAGTTATAAGAGAGTGTAGCCATTTGTAATTCATTTTTATGAAATGTCTCGCAAAAAAGTATTAAGTTAATTGTAAAATTCAAGTTCTGGCAACTATGTTAGTGAATGTTTGTAGCAAAAGTAAAAATTTATAATAGGTTATATTAAACAAAATTAACAGCTATTGTAATGTTGAGAAATATATCCCTTCTAAATACCTGGAATTTGACTTCGCATTGAATAATTTAGGCCTTATTTTGAAATGTGACAAACTATGAAATGTAATGTTAATTTCATACACCACGGTTTTTTTATTTTATTTTTAATTTATATAAAAAAGCAATAATAATACCATTAATCATTCCGTTTTTATGTCCTACACGTTGATCACGATTTATAATTATATTTATTTAGTTATCATTATTAATCTATTTGGTTATTGTAAAAATATAATCTGTGCACGTGTAAGTATTTTTTCAATATTACAAGAAATACTGGTCATTTGATATGCGATTTGATTAATGGATTTAAACAAAAACATCCTTTCAAATAAATAATGAGGTAGTCGGGAAGATTTGCGGTTTTCGCATCACGGTTAAATGCCTCCGGTCCTATAATTCAGTCTGTATTTTGATTCTTTTATAACAAAGAAGTACAATGACCTGCCTTAATTTACTAAAATTTTATGTTCCTTCTTACAAAACTTTTTTTGAATTTACATTCTCATCATTTTTCTAAAGCATTCATTCGATTTATTAACATAATGTCAACAACGCACAATTAATACAACTATTTTCTTTTCATAATTAAAAAGACTGCCTCTATAGTTATATATAATAATGGTAACATTAGTGTCGAAATTTAAATATGGTTTTAGATAATACTCGTAAGATCATAATCTGACATTGTTTACATGATGACGGTAGCTTTTACATGAAAATGTTTAGCGGAAAAGTTTTATACCCGTGATAATCTCCTGCGTTTCCATTGGTGAAATGTTCGTAAACAGAAAGAAAAATGAGAGGGATGATTATGTTTTTGTTTGAATGTTTCGGCAATACAGATCTATTTGATAAACATTGATGATCAAATATAAAGTTTTAACATTTAATTGCAGGTTTGCATTTAACTTTTCTCTTTAACTTTTTATCATAATTTTCGCGCTATGTCAAACCATGTATGCGGTGGCGTGAAGTTGCTCCCAAAGTTGCATCCGCCATCTTAGTAATAAATATAACTGAAGGGTTATACACCAAATGTTACTAATTTAACCAGAATATATTCTGATACTCTTCCTACAGCCTCTCTCACCTTCTAAGTTACATTAAGATGCACATTGTTATGAGTACAAAAAGTAACCTAATTGTGTTATTTCGGCTTATATATTGTCTAAAATATATAAGAGTAGAAATCATAACAGGCCATTACAAACAACAATTTATGTGGAAAATTAAAGTAATAAAGAGTCGATAACACTTAAAGTAAATTTATAAAACGTCATCAGCCCCGAGTTAACGTAAACTAATGCACATTTCAGGTCGCGTGCGATGTTGCTTTGAAAAAGAGCGCTGAAACGTGTAAGTGGCGCCGCCAGCGCGCCAAGCGGACAGCACCGGACCGAGCGGTTCCCGCCGAAACAGGCGCGGTTATGGCGCGAAGGCTCGTGATTGGTCGACGGCGCGGCAGTGGCGGCGCGCAAGGCCGCCGGTTTTCCCGCGAACAATGCCAAATGGTGCATTTGTCAAGGTGAGTTCGTTCACCGGCGTCGCGGGCGCCGCTCGCTCGCTCACGCCGGCCGAAGGTCGTCGGAAGGCAGCGCGCGTTTGGTGTGCTCGCCTCGCCTCGCCTGCGCCGCGCCGCCCGCGCATCGAGACACCTATTGCTAAATACACATCTGCAATACAGGTGAAATAATTGCTTTATTTTATCCTTTTAATAAATGTAAATAATTAAATGAAAATAAATAGTTTGATCCCTAGTGAAAGTTTGCTTTCTGCGATATTGATATTTTAATATAACTTGTTTGCGTAATGTTAACATGGTGAGTAAAATGTTTTAATTTGGCGTACATTTATAATTTACTGTATTTAATATTATCATCGTGTATTGGCTATAATTGCAATTATAAAACGTACATCACATGGATAAAAAATCAAGAGTCAAGACTAAACAGAAGAACATGAACAAAGAAGAAAGAAAAAGTATCAAGTGCTACGCCCGGACGAACTTCCCAGTTCGGCCGACATTCACGGGTCGGTGGGATCTTCGTCCGTTTGTATCGCTTATACGTTTTATCAACGACATGTCGAAACATGAACGAGTCAGCCGAGGAAGAAAGAAAAAGGAATGCTCTATTCCACGAGAAGAACATTTTGCTATGAGTACCGCGAAAGAATCAATAAACTGGCAGAACACTTTAAATACCTTTGCCCGCTAACAGGTAGAGAAGTGTTGCGAATTTGTTGAGCGCGGGAAAATAGTGGCGCGACGGGGGCGGAGGACGCTTGCAAACATTAGCACAGACCACGTTGCTCATCACGTTTTCCTTCTAACTTTTTTGTTTTTGTTGTAATGAAACAAACCGACAGCAACATTTGACGTAAAACAATAAAAAAAATATTTATTTAACGCACTGATCTATATGTTTAAGGTAGCTTTTTTTTAAATCTAAAAATACTGTCGTTTATGTACATGTAAATCTTATTTTAAACTAAAACAGCATTAATTCTAATAGTTCAATTTGCCAGACTAAAGTGTGCTTTCATTTTTTTTTCTTTTTATTGGTTATGGTTTAAGAATTTGTCATCTTCTGATGGCTTCCAAAATTTTCAAGCATGGACGAGCCAAAATTTAAATCGTAAATGACCAAGAAAATTCAGAATAAAAATTTTATATTTGCATTGTTTGTCTCATTACGCTTTTATATTCTGTATTTTAATGTACGCAATATCTATGCAATGGGTAAAATTGATCCTTGCGTGATATACGATACTTAAAACTGATTCTATATCAGGCACAAAAAACTGTGCCGAATGACTTAATGCTAATGTTTTTATGATACGCTATCGCTGGTTGCAGAATCCCGAGAATCGTAAATGCATCATCGATTTACATCAAATATATTTATAATAATTTTTCCACGTTCGTTTATTATCTTATATGGCCAGCCTAATTTGTCAATGTGAAATTGTAAATTATGTCATTTTAGTTTGTTTTCTCTTGCAGATATTTGTACAAAACATATTTACTAATTTAAAACTAGATCTCTTATAATAAAGTAAGTTTCAAAAATAATTAGACCTACACCTTTCTACACTAACCGCTGAATGTTTTTTATAAGTAGACGTTAAATAAAACTCAAAAATTTAACACATTCCTAAAAGGAAATATTAACTCATCTTTTGATATTGTATTTTTTGGAATATCACAGCGAAATTAAGGCCTTAAATTCGATGATTTCGAAAGTCGTATACCATTCATCACCGTTAACACATGATCGCATTCTGATGATTCATCGTGCATCGAAACTTGCGAGAGTTCCAGAACGACCGCGTCGTGTCAATCGGATCCACTCTAAACAGGCTCATTTTGACAGCTGTCAACCTACATTAAAAGGGCTCGTTGGAGTTTTGGCTAATTTTTTCATACTTTGCAAATATTTGATTAAGTGAATTTGATTATTTTTCTTTGGTAACTTAATTTTATTAATCTTCGTATTATTATAATTACGAAAGTATATTTGGATATTTGGATATTGTATATTTGGATGTTGACGTTTGTCTCTTCTTATTCAGAGAGAATGTGTGGAACGCCAATATTATTTTAACGTCGAAATGTTCACTATTAGGGAAGAAATGGGCTAATGGTTTATTTTTACTAAATGTGTATTGTTTCAATTAACTAATAACATTTTTTATTTACTAGTAAAATTAGGCCTATCATAGTTTTATGTTGGAAAAGATATTTATATAGAGTCTTATTTCGTATCGAACTATTTCATGATCTAGATATCTTTAATTATAAATTGATTATATTATTCGAAAATATAATTTAGTTCTTGTAATCACCACCAAGTATTAGGCTGGAACTGGAGAAGATAAAAAAAAACAAATGACTTTTTTTATTCTTGATTAGTAAGTCTTTTGTGGATCAATATTGTTACGATTTTAAAGGTGTTTATAATTTTTTTATTATGCATTGTAAAAATTGAACAAAATAAACGAATTTTGTATTTAAAATGTGTTTTATTATTTAATTAATAGGGATAATCATTCCTAGAGTATTTTACAAATTTTATGTAATTTAAAAATTAACAATTCCTCTTTTTTCATTAAGGCTGACTAGCATATTATCAAATTACTACACGTCAGACTTTTGTAATACTTCGTAATATTAGGAAATTAGTCACCTAAGAAGCAGTGAAAATAGGACTTAAGTAGCATTGGCATTTGTGAATCTTTCCGCCGGCAACCGGTTTTACGCGCACGGAGGCGACTAATGGCACAAAATAATCCCTTGAACATGTATTGATCTTAGTTTTATAGCATTAAATAATAAGCACAGTTAAGCTTAGTCCATATAAAAAACGAATTACTTAGGCATTACAATGTATTATCGAAGAAAAGAAGAAAATAATTTAATAAATTATATTATTAATAAATTATCATCGGCTTAGATACTTAAAAGTGGATTTAGAAAAAATATTAAAACAAGGAAAATCAAATTACTCTGAATTTAGTTGTTCTAAGATTCCGCAACTTCTATGCAATTTATACGAAAAAAGTAAGGCAATTATAATTATAAGCAATTGTAGTCAATAAAAACGATGCTAAAAGGTCACGTTGAAAAAAAATTAAATTATATTCGAAATTGCGTCATACAAAAGCTTCTATTGTGTCAAGACTAGTCTAAACAGAGGTTCAAATCAATAAGAGATGGGGCCCTTTAAAAAACTAATGAAGCCCGTTCCCTAAATCACTACAAATAGGAACAAAATCTTCGTTCTTAACTTTCTAGAAAACTACAGTATTTGTATAAGGACAATACAAAGGGGGTTGTATTTGAAATAAAAATTCCAATGTTTAAACAAATCAATATTATTTCCAATAAATTTATCATTACATCCACAATGAATGCATATTTATTACAATCTAGGATAAAACATAAAAGTCTTCGACAGCATGAAACTAAACATTACGATTATAAGTTACAAAATATTTACAATAAGGTGGTATAAACACAAAACAGAACATAACAAAATAAAATCGATGCAACAATAAAATAATAAATATTTCTTTATGACAGTGGTTCAACATGGTAAAGTTACAGTTAAATCTAAAAGATAATAATTAATTTGTTAGTTACATAAGTTTTATTACAAAATTATCTATCGGCCTTCGCATCACAGAGCAAAGCGATCTCTGGGTCAACCTCCGACCCAAGTCCAAACACAACTTCACGCCCGCCGCTTACTTTACCAAGGCGGGGGCTAAAAATATACCGCAAATGTATTGCTATCAAAAAACCAAACAACGCATACGTAACGTCCACAAGTTATTGCGAAAAACAACTTCGATGTCATCAGTTTCAAACACCACATTACTAGCGATATCATCATATTGGCCCTAACTACCGCAATAAAACAAAATCATTCAATAAACCTTTGTTGTATTTAGAATGAGATTTTTAAATTAAAAAAATTAACAACAAAGAAGCTACTTTAGCTGATAAAATGTTCGAAATGTCGAATATCAATAATTTGTAAAAGATTTTAGGCCAATTAATTCGACTTGAATACCATTAATCCTCGAGTCACTTTCAAAGGAGACTTCCACAGAGTCAATTAAACGAAACAAAAAAAGAGTAAGAATCGAAATACTCAATTAAAATCTTTATTCATATAAAATCTCATGCTAAAGTAAACAAGACATAGTATATGTCAAACATGCGTCTTGTCGCATCTCGCGGCTTAAAACCGAAGCTCCTGTACATTGCAAGATGTAAAACGTCATGCAATCAAATCTAAACCGATACTAAAGACTAGAAAATGCAAACGATTTCAAAATGTACATCGAAGACGAAATCTGCGGACAGAGCCCCCCACCCGCGGCCCCGCGTCGCCATGACAACGTGATATGTGCGGCGACGGCGACCCACAACAGTACAATCATGAACACACTATAAAGTATCTTATAATTTTATAATCAACAAGACACATATTGCTAGATTCATTCCGCCTCCAATATATCGCTCCACAGAGAATTTGCTTAAAGATTAGAGACCTCGCAGAACAATAATTTATTACAACTTAAGACAGTCGTTAGGCCTTAACATTAACAATATACAGTTATTATGGCAGATATCAACAACGAATTTAATATTTCCTCTTTTTACTCAATACGATACCGACGTTTTTACAGAAAAAAGTAAACAATATACATGCAACAATAGTACGTACCGCGGCCTCCTCTCGCAGCAAATGGCACTCTACGGTAAGCTCCGCCGCAGCCGCGCCCTCCCTGCGCCCTCCCTGCGCCCTCATTGCGCTCTCCACAATATTATACTAAATTAATCTAACCCCAAAAATATCCAACCACATTTCCGGCGACACGAGAGGGCTCCAAATAAAAAGTGAGCAATAATTTGAACAGTTCTGTGACGTGGGCATGTGCGGTCGCGGCGGCGCTAAGCGTACCCGGGCGGGTCCCACGAGGCCGTCCATCAGGAGAGGTAGGGCAGCAGGAGGTAGTAGAGG